CGGGTGTTTAGATCACTCCGATCTGACTAGCAAGCACTACTGGGTGAATGGTGTGCAACTACTCATGTTACCTGGTCAGTAGTATATATACTGTGACCTGAATAATTTTGGTTTCCAGAAGGAATTGTGGTGAAATTTCATCTCGAGCTAGTGTTAGACGGGGGAAGGCAGTCAGCCGGAAGCCTTTGACTTAGATTCCTTGCTTTTTGGCACGTTTCGACAAGGTATATCTGCAGTTATCTTGAAGGAACTTATGTCCAGTGAGTGCTGCTGTCAGAGACGTTGCCACTGAGCTATTCGGGCTAGTGATTGACCTTCTGTGGGCCTGAATTAGATATTTTTGATTGGACACTAGTTAGTAACTAGTGTAATGTGTCTAGCCCTTTGTTTGGCACAAATTGAATTCTATCAGTCAAGTTTTCAATGTGGCCACTATTCCGGATGGCTCATCATCACGGTTCACTTTGAATATTTGACATAAGATGGTTGGATGCAATCGACAAGCCTAGCCTGACCTAGGTTTCGTGCTTGTTGGCACTCAACAGTAAACAAGACGTATTTGCAATTTTGAAGGAACTCATGCCTCCTCTGAGATTGGAAATTGTTTCACCCATTACTGTTTTACTCCTGAAGCCTCCAAGATCAAGTTAAAACGACTATCTTCAATACTTTTAACTGTTTATTACATTTTATTCTCGACACTTTTGCTTGGGAAAAAGTGAGAATAATTTTTATGCATATCTTATTTAATTGCGTATAGGAGAATAACTGTGCCGAATAATTATTGTAATATGTTGGTTAGTCACATTCACTTATGGCATGATGAAAGTCCTTTTACTACTGTCATATATGATAATACTTCTTTGAAAAACTGTTAAGTCACCTTTATGTCGATGACTGTATATGGCGTATTTCTAAGCCACTCAAACTGCTTAGGATTACGAGTGAAGTAGAATTTATATATAGTTATTCTAATGTATTTGAATAGCCTACCTAACATGCCTTATCCTGTCAGCCTGGTACACATGTCTTCAAAAAACTGAACGTATAATTAATGTTAGTAAGTAATAAATGAAATTATAACACCTTTAAACAAGTTAGCAGGGAAAGCGGTGGAATCAAGACTTGAGGAGGACATAGAGGAGACAAAGATGATGAAGGTACTCAAGCAACAACGAAAAGCGGCAATCACTGTGTATAGGAGAAATCTGAAGGAACTCGCCACTTTCTGTTACCTGTACAGGGTCGTTCCAACTACAGATAGATTTCAAGGCTATGATCTTTTCGGAGAAGCCATTCGCGCATTAGTTTCCATGAAATCAGTGCGGAAATCTACATCATTCAGTAGAAGGAGTAAAACTAGTGTCAAGCCAGTGATTCTATGTGCTTTAGACACTCAAGGTGCCTGTCAACAAATGCATTGACAACAGGGCTACTAAGGACTTTCATCAACAGCTGCCATCGCTCGACAGTAAAGATCAAATGACTTGAGAAGATAAGCAAAAAGGAACTGGCAAAGACCAAACCAGGAAGAAATAGAGATGAACTGGAAATACACAAAGGAGACAGGCCCCTCAGTGGAACCCAGATGGGAATCGAGGAGTTGATCATTCGAAAGTGAAATGGGGGAGACCATTTTTGGGAGGAAGCGAAAGCTTATGGGTAATCGTGGAGCTGTCTCTAAGTGATAGCAGCTGACAGAATGGAGGGGAAATGTTCCGCTGAACTCCTATGTTCTACTGGGAACAAAAGGAACGAATATCAATGGTAGCACTTTTAACAAAAATAAACGATGGCTGCACCAACATACTTATGAAGACAAATTTTAGTTAGAAGCAGTTCAAGTTCATCTCTGCTGTATCACTGGGCTTGTACTGAACGAATTGAAGGTATTATACACATTTTAGTGAAGCCAGTGGAGATACTGCTAGCCAATAAACATTAAACGATTTCTGCACTTATCCTCAGCTAAGAATCTTTAAGGTCCTGGACAGCTTTGATATGTAAATGTTATTCAGGGGATAGTCATCGAATAGTTAACCACTGACAACCGAAATTATGGAATACATTAGTTTCTTTACTACCGACTTTGGATCTGTAGGGATCTGAATGTTTTCAACTTAGATTTCATTGTGAATTTATAGTACATGGAGAACAACAGCATGCTATGAGGCACTTGAGAAGGTGCTTCAAAAACAGATTCTCATTAATAACGCCAAATATCACACTGAAGCATATGAAGAGAAGTTCGAATTTGTAGGCGCTCACACTGTAACATGAAAGTCCAGGATTCAATGATTAATGGTGTCAGGGAGATTCAAAAAAGGTACAGTGCTACCTGGTTTAATCGTTTTCATATTGGTGTCCAGTTGTAACGAATGGGATCCAGGTTTCGATTTAGTCTTTAAAAAGGAGCACATTTAAATTGTTCCTAATTCTGTTTTCAATCCTTACTGACGACTACGATATGTTTATGCACATCAATAGTTAATTCTGTGCACTAGAGGATGAGAAAGAACATTGGCTGATGGCTGCTATACAATGATAGAGGTCCAAACTCCACTGGTGAAGTGACTTTTAAACGCATCGTCGGTTCAACTAGTACCACGAATACATTTCGTTTTAACCCTGTTTTATCTCAAGAAAATGATTGCTGAAGTTAACCCTGACTGGGGACACTGTCAGCCATTGACACAGTCTCAAAAGAGAAAAAGTAAATTCCACTGTCCTCATGGCTAGCTACTTTGAAATATCTCATTATGATAGGATTGGACAAATGAAGTATGATAGACCTATCCGCCAAATGTTCTGTTTTGCACATACTGATGTCAATCACACCTTTATTTGTATGCCAGGAAGAATTAACTGCTTCTATTACAAAGTGGACATTATTGCAGAAACAGCACTGTTACTTGTTTAGTCTCATCAGGTTTAAAAACCATTGTGTTTTTTTCTTATCTCTTTCAAAGACGACGAAAATTAGATTTATTGTAAGCTGGAATGGTTTATTCTAGTGGACTGGATTTCCTTGCTTGAAAAATTTATATTTAACTGAATCTGTCTATTCCTGAAAACCTGAAATTAGTCTCACAGCGAGTGAGACCATTCGGCTTCCTTTGCTATAAATTTAGACAGGTAAATGCCCCAGTAGTATATGAATTTGAAGAGCTGAAATACTAATGCATGGAGGACATAGCGACGATACTCTCATCCGACACTCAGAAGTAGCTTAGGATACTATTAGGGTTTCACTGCGTATAACTTATCCGCTATCAAGTGCTGTAAGTTATTTCACTTATTTTGAAGGCATTATCAATGTGGTCTACATACTGATCGCTCCATTTAACACAGATTTATACGGTCCATTTGCATTATTCATCCATTTAAGTAACTAACTCGAAAGAGAGAACCAGTATTCATCTTGAATTCATAATAAACAGATTCATCAGAGCTCATTCAAACCTTCGGAAAAGAAGTCCCGAGATGCACATTTATGATTAAGTCCCCCATCCATTTATAAAATAAATAAACAACAACTTCATAAACCAATTTGTGAAAAGGTCCTAAAGAGGACCGTTTGTCGTTCTCTCTCATACACACCACTAGATTTTTTCTAGGTAACCACTTGATTTATTCACTCAGTTTTCATCACTCGTATGCATCCACCGTCAAGCAACTGAGGTTCCCACCTGTCTATTCTACAGTTAACATAAAACTAAGAAAATAGAAATAACATACTAAAAAATACATTTATGTTATCTAATAGTTATGTTAACAGTATCTGTAGTCGACTAGTCAACGAGTTTCCCCGATTTTCGACAGGAAAACACTTCAGTGTCACACTAGACATCGGTTTCAGAACAGTTTCAACGGAAACTCATGTTGTACCTTAATTCTGACCTGTTGCCAACATTTCTACAGGTATGACAGGACTGCTTAGTAGGGGAAGTGTCTCACAGATATACTCATAATCTTAAGTCTATTTTATATTTTAGAGAAATTCCTCTTATTCTTATTGCAAAATTTTCTATTTTCCATTTACTTCTCCCGGAAAGGATGTTTCCTTAACTGTTTATTCACTATTTTTGGTCGAATATTTCTTTGAAAATGCTTCTTTCTTAAAGACTACAACTTACTTATCCTATCCAATATTTCAGCATTTTGTAGTAGACTTACGATTTAAGAAGTGTTGATAAGTCACTCAAAAAAAAACATAGTATTATGAGTGAACCAGCAAACGGAGGCATCTGTCATTATGAATTGGAAAGACCTAGCAATATATCTCATACCGTCAGTCCCTTCTTTTATACTAATAGTCCTTTGAGCCAACAATTAATTTTAAAGTCAGTTGAAGACATTTACATAGCTCGTTCAGTACAAACAGTATTTACCAGTCTATAATGCTCATAAAGCTATAATAACTATGCCTTTATATGTGGATTCGGTGCGTTGGTGGTACAGCGGTAGAATGCTCGCCAACGACGCATGTAGTCCGGGGTTCGATCACCAGCCGACTCACTGCTTCACCTCACTAGCAACATCATTCCGTAAAAATAAACACCACTGCTACCGAAGCTTCAAGCCTCTAGCTTGAAGCCCTATGTTCCATTGGGAACGTGAAGGAATAAAAAAAATATGTGGATTCAGGCTACTTAATTTTAGATTTCCAAATCACTATTTGAAGTAGTGATTGAGACGAATTATCGGTTAGCAGTTCAGATACAACCATCAGTCAGATTATTAACCATTTTCATTCGTATCTCCTAAATAATTATAATGAGAAAATCTAATCTTAGTTTATGAAACGACTAACATGAAAATTAACTGGTTATTCAAACCTGTTAACCTCAATTGGAACCAGTATTCAGGGTCTGTATGATTCGATCCCCATCACCTCCCAGTTGCTTTTGTCTGTTATCTTTTGGCAGAAGAGACCAATTTGGATGCACATTTGGAGTCCCGTTCTTCGTTCTGTCACTGACTGTTAACGCCTTCATTGGTTACTCTCGTTCCTGATGAACACGTTGGTGTGCGCGCATATTTGAACGATCAGCAAAACGTCGCCCACAAATTGTGCATTCATATGGTTTTTCGCCTGTATGAGTTCTTCGGTGAATGTCACGGAGCCATGGACGGGAAAAACGTTTACCACAGTCCTGACAGTAAAACGGTAGAGTATGTGTAGCCTCATGTAACCTGTAATTTAAGAAAAGGTATGAATACAATTTTAAAAATTTATAGAATAATATGAGTACTAGCCATTTTCAGATGTAAAAAGTCAAGAATTCCAAAGTCCTCTGGGAGGATATTTAATATTGAAAACATTAGTGAAGTTTACAAAGGATTACGATAAATTAGTCGCCCACTTAATATTCTGGAAGAGTGGATTTTAGGAACGTAAAGTTGAAGGAAGGATAGCTGAACTTTGGTCACCATTCTTGACAAAATGATCAGCATGATGACATCCATTTTATGCTGACAGCTAATTACTGTTAACCGAATTCATGAAACACCTATCAAGTTAATTAATTCTCATTTATACAGATCATCATTTGGCTTCAGATGATTGAAAGATAAATGAACGTAATAAGTACTTGACTTAGTCTTCATGGAGACTTGGCATCCTTCATAAAGACATCCAAAATCTGCGCCTCTAAACTAGTCATTAATGAATAACTAATTGCTGAGCCGTAATATATTGTTAAATTGGTGCTTCAGAGGTTCAGCATTAGAGTACTAATCAAGCACGCATGCCGTCTGGGGTTCATCCCTCCTTGATCTCACTCGGCTGGTAGTAAGCCCGGTGAAGACGGAAGATTGGGCGTGAGGCTAGAAACTCCACCTCTTAAAAAACACTAAGGCTGCTACAGAAACGTTTAGCGCTCAAGCTTGAAGCGCCATGTTCTACTGCGAATAGTATATATATATGTTGCTAAGCCGTCCCTATTATAATTTATCCTCAGTCTCATTAAGGCATTTCTTCTCACTAACCACTTTCCTCAAAGTGACTCTTTAGTACAATCAGAAGCACTGCCAAGAAATAAATTCCATAAAATCCAAGATCAATCAATAAATACTTATCAATTATGCAGTCTGTTACCTTATTGACGACTTCACTGAATACGCCTTTCCACAGTATCGACAGTTATACTGTTCACCTGTTTTTGTAACATTCCTCGCTGGTCTATTCACTTGTCGTTTACAATTGAAAACAGATAAATCAATCGGAGATGATTGTTCATAATTTGGCAAATAGTCATTTTCAGTTTTTATCTGGAAGTTATACGGAGAATGTTGTCGTTGTTGTTGTTGTTGTAATTGATTATGGTGATGGTAATGACGACCTACAGGTGTAGTGTTCGTGGTTACAGGGAATGGAAAGACATTTTCATTGTTTTGTAATATACTACCAGGATCAAAACATTTCAGCAACAATGCTGGAGATGATGTTGATGATAATGATGCTGTTGATGGGGTTGATTCTGATAGAATAGAGTCAATTGAAAATTTCAATTTAGATGTGTGCTCTTTCTTAGTAATTTCAAAACTTTTATAACCACTGTCGCTATTCAACTGAATGTTAGTCTTTGGACTTTGAAATTTCAAATTAGTCAGTGAACAGTTGGGAATGTTTGACAATTGATGGAAATTCTCGTAAAGACTTATAAGTTGGCACAGATTATTTGGTGTTGAAATGAGGCCTGTAAAAGATAGAGAAAAATAACAAATGAAATTTGCATATATATATATAATTTGATGTTATTTAAGTGACAACAGATTAAGTCTGTTTATTTGAACAATTAGGAATACCTACAGAATTATACATTCAGACAGTTATAGTGACTTGACTAAGCAGCTTCAATTGTCATACGGGACAGCATTATCGGTTGAAAGGCGATAATCTACTAAACCGTTGTGGAGTAGCGCAAACTAGCGTTAAAGTAGAAACTACTCATTGAAAAGTAAACTCTAGAGAATAATATTAGCTATAAGTTAAATGTTTCAATATTCCGACTTTAGAGCAATAAAAATTTGTCAAGTACTAAAACACTGATCACCTGGAACTGAAGGATGAAACCACTTTGGAAACACTATGATAACCTAATAAACACGTCACCTAGCGGAAATAAAGACAATTTTAAGAGTACTGAGTCGAATCATTTTCTAATGGTAATGTCAGAGGGTATAAGAACACAGAAAGTGATGGAGCTACGCACAGAACAAATTTTCCGTCACTCACCATTGTGAGTCAAGATGGAGACAACAGAGAGATGCAAATCATAGCCATTGCCCGTTAAACTTCGTGAAATTCTATACAACAAAAGGAAAACTGTTCGAAACTCCATAGTTTTTTTACAGATAAAAGGACAAACCAACCAAAAACCTACTGCTCAACGAATATTTCCGAGAAAAGTGGAGATAGACTGGTCACACACTGAAGACATCGTCGAATGACACTGCGCATCAGGCGACGACCAGTATGACATGGAGGAGATACTACGAAGGGGAGATGAGAGACTACAGGCAATCGTGGGGCCAGCTGAAGGAGATGACAGAGAATAGGACAAAGTGGAAACGTGCCGTTGAAGTTCTATGTTCCATTCGGATCCCAAGGAAATAATAATATGCAGTGACTGACATTTCAGTTATCGACGGATTTATGAGCTTCAGAAGCTAATGATAACTGCTCTAATTAATATAAAACAGGAGCTAAGTATGTTTCCTTACCAAAAAGTTCTAATAGGGACATAATTACCATATCTTTTGATCTTCCTGATAAGCGAAAAACAAATCATCTGCAAAAATCTGCATACACTTAAGATGGGATTGGCAAAACTTGTAACAGAAAACTACTTCGTCTAAATTGGAGACTCATCAGAACCGATGTTATTAAACCATTTGAAAAATCTAGCATACAAAACGCAGTTAATATAAAAATATAATAATCTAGATAAATTGTAAGGGTAACTTACCATACTCTCCGATGGACGTTCCATCTGATGATTTTGGTGTTGAAAAACCGAGTGAATAAGACATTTTTTTCGAACAGTTTTCGAGTGTAACAAGCTTTTAGGATATCGGGTTTTACTAAGAGGAAGGGTAAGGGAATGCTGAAAAAAATAGTTCCTATTTATATTTTTTTCAGGTGACGTATTAACACATACTCACACAGTTACTCACATATATACACACACACTCACAGAAAAGCATACATGAGCATTAGGTGTTAACATGCATCAACTTGACTTCTTTCCTTACAACATTCTCAAAGCATATTCGAAATGAGGAAAAATACGTTAGACTGGGGGTAGAGATTTATGATAACTGGAATGAAAATGATTCATAGCTTTGATTTAAACCAATATAAATGTATGGCGTTATCATTAAATTGCACATACGTTATTCATTTGAGGATGAGAATCACATCTGCGAAAGACGGGGTGGGGAGGGAGAGTAGGAATGATTGGAAGAAGGGGAAAACACTGGGGGAGGGGAGTATGTGTTTATTTACGCAATTTTGGATGATAGGAATTTGATTATAGGATTATGAAAGCCTGAAGATAATTGGATTAAAGGTTATAAGATGGGAAATACTAAACATTATGATATCATGTATTTAAAATAATTGCTGGGGGTGTTTGATTTAAATACCCATAAATATTTACAATCCATGAATGATTGGTATTCATGAAATATGTAAAGAAATGCAACAGCTGACATCATAATAATGTTAAATACCTAAAATGTCACTGCATTCAGCCCATATTACTGACATTCGAAATTTAGTTAGATACTATTTTGGCAGTCTACAAAAGATTTCTTCACGAATGGATACCCTGTAGAAAGACGCTGAAAGTGAAAGAAGTTCTTAGGACTGCTTATTTTCTATCTCGAGAAGTTTAGAGTTTAGGACAGTTCAGCACCGGAGGGGAGCGAAAGCATATTTTCTTCATTGGACTGAGAATTCTACCGTCTAGAGGAATCACTTATTTTTGTTTCTCACTGTGGTCTAAACTCACAATGGCTGATGTAACTGGTGATCACAGATCATAAATTTTCATTAAAATCTCCAGAATTTCATCTTGAAACTAATTGCCAATAAGTCATAGAGCCTAATTTACTTGTGTTTTGTTGTTAGAGAGATTCAGGTCGCATTATGTTATGAATTGACAGAAGTTAGAGTTAACGGGTCACTGGGTCAGGTTCCAGTGGCTTAATGGTCTACGAGCTAGTTCGTCCTGCAACCAGAAGGCCCTGGGTTTGAACTCCGGTGGTTGCGTACTTCTGAAGAGTCCCAAACTAGGACGAAGCGGCTGTCCAGTACTCCAAGGTTTTCCAGCGGTTCTCTAACTGATATCAGCTCATGACGAAATCCTCCAACCAAACAAACAAAATCCCTACAAAACCAATACTTTGCGATAAACCAACAACAACTGTCTAGTTACTGAAAGCCAAAAATTGATAAATAGATATCCGACAAGTTAGACGACTTTTTCCATTTTATTGCTTTGTCTTCCGAGTGAAAGATAAGGCTTCCAGAGTCAACTTTAGAAGTTACAGTCGCAGTGGTGTGATTTTTCACAACATGGGGTTGTCAGCCTCACGTAGAACTTTCCCTCTGTACTGGGCTCACTACCAGCTACGAGGGGATAAGAAGTTTAGAACCTCGGATGACTAGTGTTCTTTAACTGATGGCAGTTATATAAGAAGTCTACTTTTATATCCAGTTTTTATAACTGACAATCATTTCAAAGGTAGATCAAATTAATTAATAGTTTTCTCGACACCGGAATGTGGATTTCTTGTATAAGTGACTGGATATCACATGTGATAATATCAAGACTGTATTAAGTTTCAATTCTAACTTGTTAATGCATTTAGTACTAAAGATATTATCTAGCATAAGAATGAAATTTCTGTGACTGAGTTTCAAATGTCTGAGTACATCAAAAAATTTTAATGCGTCTTGTGAACTGTGGATCTCTTATGCGTCAAGCATTCATCAACGGTTAACAAAAATTAATTCATTAGCCTAAAAGATAGTGCTTAGGTGCTTAGACTGGCGGGTTCTGTGTTTATATCTTAAATGACAAGCTGATCGACAGTGGCAAACGCAACAATCTAGTGAAAACTACGTCTCTTGTTGCTACCATACATATCCAGCGTGAATACACAGTTCTTAGCATTCTCATTAGGAGGGTTATAAGAACAAACAGAGTGATGTATTCGTGTAATGACTAGTTGAGCTTATATGCGCATTCTCCCCGCTAAAACAAGTTCATAGTTAAACAGGTACCCACAGACCGTCCGACAACTTTCGGTCCTGATGTTAGATTGTTGCAGACAATCGTTAGTAAAATCTGAACTTAGGTTGCGTGTTTGTTGGCACTGGCCAACAAGGCCCATCTGCAATTTTGAAAGCATTTATGTGCCCTTTGAGATTCAAACTCAGGTCACTCAATGCTGCAGTCATAGCATAGAAATGAAGTCCAAAACTTCCTGTCTACTGCCTCCGGCCGTTAAGTATCGTTCCAGACTACCATCATAATGGCAAGCTACATAGATTTGTAACTACATTATAAAATTGACTGGCAGAATTAATTCTACGCTGCACGAAGGACTAGACTCATGACACTGGTTACCGCCTAGTGATCATTCAGAGTAGGCTTTAGTTCGGTTTAATTATCCTCATTTGTCATGGTTGATTAAATAAATGTACCTTCTGTATTAATTCGACACTAGACACATTCATAATTTCTCCAGCATGTTACACAATTTACCTCAATTGACAACTATGTTGTGGTGTTCCTTGTCAGGTGCTTATGCTACAGACTTCTATGGTCACAAGAAAACGGGCTTATTTAAGATGAATAAGTGCTTACGAAGGATCTAAATGTTTGTTTTCCAGCTGAACAAATTACTGCTATAATCTTCAGCTGTATAATGCTACAGAGTATTAAGATGATGTTCTAAAAAGACGGTGACTTATATTTCCTTTCAGATGACCCTCTTACTCGATTTCCTTAAATTCTTCAATATCCTTTGTTGTTATCATTATTTTCTTGTGTTTCGAGTGGAACATAGGGCTCTAACAGCATATCTTCACCTTATTCCATTCTCTGCCGTCCTCTTTACCTGGCCGTACAACTGCCTGTAGTCTCTCATCTTCGCCTCACAGAGGACCCACTCATAGTTTCCCATTTAGCGCCCACTCGAGCAATGTTTTGGCGCTCAACCTCACTCGACGGTCTTCTCGGCGTGTGCTGAACCCACCTCCATCTTCTTCGGAATATTTGTTGAAAACTTGGTTCTTAATTGGTTGATTCCCAGAGTTTGTTGCTAATCATTCCTGGCTGGCCATCTAATCTTCAGCATGGAGCCAGAGAAGGTAGCTGCTGATAAAAGTCAGCAACCACCGGTTGCAAATGGTCTCGCGACGTGCTGGCTACGATTCTCACCCATATAGAAGCACTGACTCACTTAATATCCATATCGGAAATCCGAATCTTGTTCCTTCTACTGAGTTCAGAATATTTTCAAATGCATTTCAGAGTGATGAATGTTCATGTCGCCTTTCTGATTCTGCCATTTACATCCTCATTAGTTCGGCGTATCTGTAGTTGAAACAACGCTGCTTAGATGAATGAAGGAATTGACCTCTTTCACATTTACTTCGTTGACAGTGATTGGTGCTTGTTTTTGTTGTTGTTATCGATTGGTTACTTTCATCACATCCATCTTCTGTACGTCTATTTGAAATCGTGCCTTTACTGCCTGCATCTTCTACCAGCTTGTCGGTTTTCACCTGTAAGTCTTTGAGTTTGTGTGACACTAGACATAAATAATCCGCGAAATCCAGTCCTACTGAAGTATTTTTATTGGCCCAACATATTTCTGTGTTCTAATTTCCATGCACAGTCTTCCGAATAATCTAGTCCACTACAATTGGTAATATCATCGGTGATAGTAGCTAGCCTTAGGTTACTTTTGTATTCACTTCGAAGGCTTCTCTGAACTTTCCGTTTTGGATCACCTGACTTACCACCATCGCACACTCTAAACTGACGTTAGATGGTTAGAGCTAAACAGAAGGAAGCTTTGAACCTAGGTATCTTACTTACTGGTGCCCTTTAGAAAGGCATATCTTTAGCTCTGAAGGAACTGGCATGTTCCCGGAGATGACTGGACTACACACTATCAAGTCCAAATAACCAACCTTTGACAATATTTAGATGGAGTGAAACTGAGACTAAATCATGAGAAAGCATGAACCCTTAATAACTGACTGACTGAATGAATGAAATAACAACGTAGAATGCCACACAAGGTATTTACTAACTTCACCTCTTATTGTCAGCATGGTGCAAAATACTGAATGGAGTAGAAGGAAGATGATATCCCAGTGAAGGAACATAAGTGTGTGAATGTGTGCAATAGAGATAGACTACTCTAAAGAGGATTACTTGCGACCTACGGAATGTGATTCTTGAATCATATCATCAAATGTTTCTGATGAGTAATATTTGGCGTACTGACCCCTCTTCACATAAGTGAGACATTTTCCATTGCAGTTCTGCTTTGGATGAAATTGTTATCCTGAGAAGCTAATGGTTTGATGTGAGCTACAGAAAATATGATCTTTTTTCCTATGCTTAGCTGGTTTACCGTACACTGGAGTTGAATTTTAACATTGTTTACCACATGTTGATAATTCAGGTGATCTGTGTGAAGAATACCTCTGTAATGAAAGCCGATAATCTTTCCACAACTGTTCTAAGTGGTTATTTCTAACAATCATGAAGGGGGATATGGTAAACTCTTATTTATTCAAGTGGTATTCAGACCTACCTTAAGTGAATCAAACTGAACAGAGACATTCAGCCTCGGTTACTGATTATTATACTGATGTTTTCCCAGTTAAGCTATAATAATTAACTTTGTATATTTTTAAATCAATTCAGGTGGTAAATTAACTTGAATGAACATTGAAATTCCACTAAATTCTACTTAACAGCTAAGTGAATTTACTTTCAATG